GGATTACCTGATACTCAGGGAGGAAACCCTGACCTCCCACTCCACTTTCAGCTGGTACACACACCTTGTTACTAGGACTTCAGACAGCTCAGGGGCTCCCTCTAGTGGTAGTTAAGCCAGGACTCTGTTACTTAATCTGAGTACTATTTATTGACCCAGTCCAGGGAGTCTGAGGAATGTGAATATAGAACAGATATGGTCTTTGCAGTGAGGAGATGACGATTTCTATACATATTGCTGGAATACAATGTGGGGATGGATGAGCACTAGGAAAAGGGAACAGAGAAAATTCTTTTGTTGTTGAGAAGTCAGAGTTTAATCACAGCTGGGGAATTAGGAAAGGTGGTGTGGAAGATTTGACATTTATTTGGGTCTGAAAGGATGAGTGAGATCTGGCTTTGTGGCAGTTCACAGATAGGGTAGGCAGAGGGTTAGCATCTCTGCTGGAGGGAATGGTGCTGGCAAAGGCATGCCGGCAAGGAAGGCAGGGAAATGTGAAAAACTGGGGGGTTCGTTTCAGTTTAATTGGAGGAGGACAGGATCTGTGAAATGGAAGAGTTCCCTTAGGATCAAGATGGCATTTTCCAGCCTTGGTAGCGGTGAGGAAGATGGTTGGGAGAGGGAAGAAAGTTGAACAAGAAGGTCATTTAGATTCCATGTGTTGGTCACGGCTCCAGGGTGGAAAGTCGCTGAGAAGTGGCCAGAATCCAGATTCCGGATCCTTCAGCAGCCACTGCCACGAGTACTGGAAATTCACAGAGGTTGCTCCCTGCCAGTCCAGCCCCTTCTTCCTAAGTGACGTTTTCCCAGGCTCTGGCACGGTCTGCTTCATGAAGGGCTACAAGGACTTCTTTAGTCTGGTCCACAGGCAAGCATCAGAGCTACACTTGATTCTCAGCCTCCTGTGTCCCCTCTCCCAGCCCCAGTTGTGAAGAAGCGCAAACCAGTGAGAAAGAACTGAAGGGAAGGGTTTGCACCTTCCTCTGAGGCAGAACTCCTCCAGCCCCCACCCACCTGCTCGAGTGTCTGCCTCAGTCCAGCAGGAGACACACTACCACCTTACTGCCCTGGTCCTCTGGGAGCAGATGCACTTCCCAGATGCTACATCTAAAGAGAAATCAGGAAAAAATTCCAAGCTAGAACTTGTTTTCTAGATTTAGAACTGAAGCCTTTTCATTCTGCATGCTGAAAGCTCTACCCAAGTCTTGGCACCAAGGTCCCCAAGATGGTGCCTGTACCCGGTGCTGGCATTCAGGAAAGACTGGGCTGAGCAGCCTGTGTCGCCTCTGCTTGTGAGAATGGTGGGATCGGAGGGGCAGGGGGCGGGGGGGCGGCGGCGAGGGGAGTGGCTGAAGTGAGAGACTGTGGAGGGCAAATCATCGAGACAAAGGGAAGAGTCACCCAGGGTTTGAGCCCCGACCGCCCTCGCCTTCTTGCTGTCACCCCTTAGATGTCTGGCTGGCAAGTACCTCCGACTCTTCATGACCGAGGCAGAACTCGTGGTCTCATCTCCTGTCCAGCCAGCTCCCCTCACAGCCTCCCCGCCCGACCGTGCTGACTTCTCGTGGCTCAGGCCGGGAACCTTGGAGTCAGCCTTGATTCTCCTGTGCCTTTCACACCTCAGACCCAGTCCTTCAGGAAGCCCCAGAGGCGTTCCAGTCAGTCTAGCCTGGCGCGTCTGTCCTCCCACCTGCGCTGCAACCATCCTGGTCTAAACCATCTGCCACCCGCATCACAGTCAGAGCTCCCTGCGCAGGTCTTCCCCTGCCTGCCACTGCTATTCTAGACTGAACAACTAGAATGGTCCTTCAACGATAGGAGTCCGATCTTGTCACTTCTCCGCTTCAACCGCGAGTGGCTTTTGTGCTATCTCCAGAGTAAAGGCCAAGTCCTTACAGTGGCCCTCATGCGCCCGCAGTATCTGGCCCTTCCACCCCCATCCCCTCCCTCAGCTGCCATGTCCCTGTCCTCACTGACCCGCGCCTCCAGCCACACATTAGTTACTCCCCAGGCCGCTCAGGCACGCTCCTGCCTTGTGGCCTTTGCGCGAGCTCCTCCGTCCATCTGGAGCGCTCTTCCACGTGTCCACAGGGCTCGCCCTCCCCCATGTAATACTGACCTTAGGAGGCTGTAATCTGTTTTGATTTGGTGTCATGGAGATTATCCGCGGCTTAGAGCAGAGAAACAGATCCTTTTATGGAATCCTATAGGCCTTCTTGTCTACTGATTAACGAGAATGAAACTGCTGTTGGCTTTTAAAGACAACTGGGACTGCACAGAAGTGTGTGTGGTGCATTTCACATTTCAACCAAGGAGCACATTTTTGTGTGGGGCAGCGCATGAAGGTCAGGCTGGCTGTGATGGGTTCACTGATTCGCCATATGCAAGGTTTGTAATTCTCCGTTCAGTGACGGTTGCAGACATTCTTATTTAAAAGATCAGTGCAAATTGTGGTCAAGGAATAATTTGTTATACATGTCTCAGAGTTCAGTAATTTTGAGCCTCAATTATGCCGTTAAACCTAAAATATATAAATGAATAAGACATCTATAGTTTTTCTGTTTTAGCTGATTTATTTATCCTTTGGGTTTTTAACCTCTTTATTTTCACATTAATCTTCAAAAGATTTTGCTATAAAAATAGCAGATTTGGTAGACAACATGGGTTTTGAGACCAGAGGACATTCATTTCAGTTTGAGGTTTACCTTACTGGTGATTATTAGTATGGAGAAGTTATTTAATGTTTGTCTCTCCATTTTATTCTCTGCAAAGCGAAAATTCTAGTTCTGCTCATTGGGTTGTTGCTAGGATCAGATGTGGTCACGTATTGGCTCTGGGTAATTGTTGGCTGCCATTTAGAATATCATTTCCCATTGGACGCGGAAGAGTCCGCCAGTGTTTTGAGATCGTTCAGGCTTCAGGAAAACATCTTTAATGGCTTTGAAAGCAAAACTACTGCTTATAGCTGACTGCTACAGGACCCGTTTTTTTGTTTCTGTTTTAAAAATTTTAGTTGAAAACACATCTTTATTCTTTCCACTGTCCACCCCACACCCCCATGCCCAGAGTCCATGGAAGCACACAGTTTGTTCTCTCCTCCCTTCGTCCAGCCCCCACATGTAAATACGCACACATTTACTTAGGTGTTTGCTCAGTGCATTGATGTCATGGGCAGAAATAAAGACGGAACTTGTCTTCCATTGAGGAGCTTATCCCTGGAGGATCTCACCACTTTTTCAGTTTAGACCAGATTCGATTGAGTACAACTTTTATTCAGCTTCTACCATGTGCCAGGCACTTTGCTGGACTTGGGAATTTGAAACTGTAAAAGAAGTGGGTCTAACTCTTGGGGAGAACAGACAGAAACCTAGGGTTACTCTTGTGTCAGGAAGCATTTCGTGACAGAAGTACATGTATGCCACTGCTGGGTGGTGATTATTATCTTGATGTCCTTGGGGAAGTGGGGGAAGGTGGCAGTGCTGGCTGTGAGCCCACTCACACGTGGACCTGCCTCCCAACCATGCCCTGTTCTGTGATCACTGTTCCATTTAGGGGCATAAAACTGGCCAGAGGATTAGTAAGTGTGTTCTCTGGACTTTGAAGAGAAAGCCCAATGTCAAATACTCTGCCGTAGTCAGGCTCTGCATCTCATTTTTGGTTTGGGAAACAAAAGTCAATACACAGGGACAGGGAAGCATAAAATGGCATGTTAATTATCTTGACATATTGGCCAGATTTGTTTTGGAGGCAAAGGAACAGGTTGGAGGTCATGGGCAAGAGAAGAGCTGAGGGGTAGGGTGTACGGCAATTGGGTGCCAGCCAGATGGACCTGCGGGCAGTTTCCAGCATGGTGCTTAGTCAGCCTGCTTCCTCCCAGCTCTTGCCCTCTTTGTGTTCTTCTGTCTCATTAAATATCACATATATTCACAGAGTGCTCACTGTGTGCTGCACACTGCCCCCTGATAGTTAAATAGTAGTGTGTGCCCTGCTGTCCAGGCGTGTCTCTTATTGGGGTGGGGAGGACACATAGATTTGAATCATAGGATCAACAACTAGAATTGAACATGGGGGAAGGGACCCTAGGGGTTGTCATCTGTTTGTTTCACTTTACTGATCCGGAGTCTGGGCCCAGAAAGGCTATGTGACTCTGCTCAGGCATTACATCAAGTTTTCCTTCTGCTGTACTCCAGTGACTGCCTGTCCTCCCTGCTACAATCCTGTGCAGATAGGCTCTTGTTATAAGGATCCCCCCACCCTCCTCCCTCTTTCTTCCCTCCCTGGAACGTCCTTCCTTCCTGGCACTGTCCTAGGGCAGCTGGAGAGGGGGTAAGACAAAAGTCTTGCCCTCAGGAGCATTTGTTTTAGAGAGCCGGTAGCAAAGAAGCAACATCTGCCGTCTAGACAAAGCAGGGAAGGGCTGGGGTTGGGATTGCGGACGTAAGCACTGTGGTGAGAGGTCAGACCTCTCTTGAGGAGGTGGCATTTGAAGAGGGAGCTGAGGAGATGTGAACAGGGTGCTCACGTAAGGGGAGGGAGACCCGGCCAGCGGCAGCGGAAGGAACAGTGCTCTGTGCTCCAGAAACCTCTTGACATTGATGGAGGTCAAGGGTCTGCACACTACCAGTGTGTGTTCATTTGGGAAGGCTGAAAGAAGCAGTGAAGGACCTCAGTCTGGTGCCCGAGGTGCTTGTTATGGGCTTACGTTGGTCTTTAGACATGTTGGTGGGAAGCATCCTGTGTGACCTGAAACTCAAGGCGTGAGGAGTAGTGACCAGAGAGTCAGGTTATGGGACCCCTTTGCTTTAGTCATGGGCCACCCAGAACAGCAAGGCCATTCTTCTCCCTCTTGGACTCTCCCCGTTGCTTTCACAAAACTTCAGATACTTTTCAATGAAGTAGTTAAGTGGGCCCAGGAGAATCCCATGTTGCAACACGCCGTACCATGTGAGACGTCTCAGCGGAAAAGCCTATAGATGATCTCGCCTTTCTGTTTCAGACAGCCCATCTGAGGATACTGACCTTAAAGACGCCTATCTCATCGTAAGAAACATCATGGCTGAGCCAGACTACATAGAAGATGACAATCCTGAACTAATTAGGCCTCAGAAACTAGTCAATCCTGTAAAAACGTCCCGCAACCATCAGGATCTTCACAGAGAACTTCTCATGAATCAAAAAAGGTACAGTGATTTCTTGAGCTAAGTTTTCCTTTGGGGACTTTGACTTAAGAGATTTTTTTCTTTTCTGGACTGTATTTAAGGCTGCCTTATTCCTTCTAGTGTGAGCCAGGGCATCCCTCCATGAAGTCAGGTCATCTGCAGGCACAGCCGCCACTGCCGCTCTTACTCCGTGGGCTACAGAACTCGGTCCCCTTCTCAAGTGGACACGTGTTGTAGAATTTGGATGGAAGGGTGTCGATTAAGTATGAAAGAGAGTATCCTAAGTCAAAAAGAAATACATTATTTCTTGGATTTGTAAAAATTCTGAATTTGCCCCTTACATTTGGGGAAGTGTGGGAATCCAAGGTAAATACTGCCGGCTTTGGCATTTTTGAGTGGCAGGGAGAAGTCTCTAGAACTACCTCAACTTAATAATAGACAAGAGCTCTCTCTTTTTTTTTTTTTTTAAGTAACATTTAAAATTATTACTATGATCATTTTTATTATTTTTTTGGAGGGGAGAAAACATTTACCTTTTTATCTTCTTTGTAGACCATTTGTTAGTGCCATAAACATGTTTATCTGTTGGGTTGATGGAGTCTGCTTTTTAAGTAATTTTGGGCAGGGCCAGTTGACTAGGAGAGCTCGGGATACAAAGTTACTTTTATTTATTAGGACACAAAGTTACTTATATTATTTAAGACCTATTAAGCTCCCCTGAGAGCTCTTCCCATTTCTTCAGAACGAAGCTGTTGATCTGAATTGTTGGACCACAGGTCGATCATACCCCCTCTCTTTGCCAAGCCCTCGTTAGCTCTCATTGAACTGAAGGGTATATAGACCAAGTTAAGCAGTAGGGTCATGTTTTAGAGGGAAGGCCTAATTTAAATATAAAAGTAAAAACATTTAAAGAGGTGATGAGGGAGCAGTCCTCCTTCCCTAGCGCACCCCTGGAGAACTCATAACTCCTGTTGAGGAATATAATGTGAATCCATCGTTCCTCCAGGCCGGGAGTGTGCCTTACTGCCTTTTTGTTACCAGCATGCACTAGTATGCTGTTGGATTCATGCTGATTAAATTGAATGCAAGTTTGATCCCTTCTGAACAAGTGCTTACCTTCTAACTGTCTTTGTCACATAAAAGGAAAAAAATTACATAGATTTGGTATCATCATGCCCAAAGCAAAACAGGGACATGTATGTTCCTAAATAGGGCCACAGAATTTGGAGGCAGTCTTGCCTGGGAAATGATGCCTGCATTTTGGTAGGAAGATCAGAAGTTTGCTGTAGGGGCCCCCAGGTAGCTCAGTCAGTTAAGTGTCTGCCTTCGGCTCAGGTCATGATCTCAGGGTCCTGGGATCGAGCCCTGGAGCCTGCTTCTCCCTCTGCCTGCAGCTCCCCCTGCTTGTGCTCTCTCTCTCCCTTTGACAAATAAGTAAATACTCCAAAAGAGTAGCAGTCGCCACTAACTAGTTTCCTGGTTGTCTTCCTTCTTGGACCTCCATTCCCTTATCTGTAAAATGGGAGTAGGGGGCATCTCTGAGGGACATTCTAGCTCAAACTGGGTTTTGTTTTTCTGTTACATCTATGAAAAGGCTCCAAGTCAGAATAGAGGCAAAGGTGAAACCAAAATGGGCAGAAAACTGTACTCTGAATTATAGGCTACAAATTATTCCACAAAAATATATTTAGCACCCTGGGTTATATCTCTAAAACATACAGGTTTGTATAATTGAATCTGTTGCCAGATTTTCTAGAATAGGCACTTTCTATGAAAATGGACCTCCCTTCTGTCTGATTTTCTCTGGCCCATGATTTCTTTTCCTTGTTTATTACACAGCTGACTCTTCAGTCAGGCCCAGCTCAAGTAATTTGGGAGAATGCTGTGTTCCCTCGAGTACCATAGTGCAGAGAGGATGTCCTTTGAGCTTAGAGGGAAATCATCTAAGTCCTGGTTTGCCATTTATCTTGACCTACCTTTATGACCTTGGACAAGGTCCCCCTTCCTGAGATACGTGTCTTCATCTATAAAGTGGGAGATGAAAATACCCTTCTTCTAGAACTTAAATAATAACATGTATGAGAACCTACTAAAATGACTGGTGTATAATAAATGCTCAATTAGTCCCATCCATGTTCCACTTCCCGTGGAGCATCATCAGAAAATTCCCATTGCTTTTCCCCATTTTTCCCTGAAGGGTGCTGGCCTGGCTTTTGAAGTACATCAAGAGGAGAAAAAAAAAAGAAAGAAAAGGCAGGAAGAAGGCAGGTTTCAAAATCAAATGAATATATCTCATCCTGTGTTTTGGGGTTTTCAAGATAAGGTCTTAGTTTAGTGGGGTCCTCTCATTAGAAATACAGCTGCTTTGTGGAGTGAAACCTCTCAAGCAGTTTTTTTTTTTTCTTTTATTCATCTTCCATTATACATACTTGCTAGAGACTGTGGGGTTTTTATTTCTAAATTTTCATGCCAAAGGACAGGAAGTTTCACATGGATAATATGTATGTTTGGTTAGAGGATAATTGTACTTGATTACTGGTTTATATCGTAACAAAAGTCTGCTTGTTTTTCTACAATTTGTAAAGAGCCTGCCTGTATTTTATCTTATCCAGTGATCTTTCCAGTAATCCAGTGTATGTTATCTTGGGGTCACCCTTATTTGACATGTAAATAAGAGAAAACTCAGAGAATAAACATAAAATTCAAGGTAGTTCATACAAATAAATCAAGTAGAGTAATAATATCAGTCAGAAACAAAGCAGAGAAGAGAGAGGGAGACAGCAGCGAGATCCACATGAAGCAAGTGTTCTGTGGAGCCCTGTACCTTTGCTCTACAGAGGCACAAATTTTTTTTTTTTTTAAAGATTTTATTTATTTATTTGAGAGAGAGAGAGAATGAGAGATAGAAAGCACTAGAGGGAAGAGGGTCAGAGGGAGAAGCAGACTCCCCACTGAGCAGGGAGCCCGATGCGGGACTCGATCTGGGGACTCCAGGATCATGACCTGAGCCGAAGGCAGTCGCTTAACCAACTGAGCCACCCAGGCGCCCTACAGAGGCACAAATTTGGTTCAAAGCCCTGGAGCAGTTGGTTCACAGAGCTTTTCAGGTTACATTTTATTTTTTATTACTTTATTTTTATTTTTTTTATTACATTCAACTAGCCAGCGTATAGTACATCATTAGTTTTTGATGTCGTGTTCAACAATTCATTAGTTGCATATAACATCCAGTGCTCATCACCACACGTGCCCTCCTTAATGTCCGTCACCCGGTTACCCCGTCCCCCCACGCCCTCCCTTCTGTAACCCGCAGTTTGGTTCCCGGAGTGCAGAGTCTCTCATGGTTTGTGTCCCTCTCTGATTTCTTCCCACTCAGTTTTCCCTCCCTTCCTGCCCCTGTGGTCGTCCATGCTATTTTAGAGATCATAAGATAAAAGCAGAGTCACTGCTTAGGAGAACAAATACTCATAGGTATTTTAACTCCGAAACCTACACACTTTGAAGGATATAACTCTGCTCTTCTACTTAGCATCTTTTGGACCTAGCCAAGTTTCAGATTAAAAGTCTTTACATTTTGAGCTGGTTACAGTCTGCCATTAGGTGTGATTATGAGGACCGTTGGTCAGGTTCTCCAGTTCTATAGGTGCTCCCAGGGGCATTATTTCAAGATACATTATTTTTTGTAGTTGTAAGATGAGTGTTCAAGAGGTTTTAAAAATATAGGGATATTTCTAATATAACTTAGAGAGATTCTGTCTTCTCTACAAAGAGTTCTTTTGGCCACAAATAGAGAATACCCAGTCACTTAAACACATCCCTAAAATTAGTTCTTTGGCTTATACCTTCCAGTCAGTGATTTCCACTTCCCTGTGTTTTTAGTTGCTCTTCATTGTATATGCTTTGCTAGACATAAAGGGTTCTTCAATATGTACTTGTTGCTCTACCATGTGGGAAAAAATACGGGAAGCTGAGTTAGAAGTATTTGCATTTAGAATCCCTGCAGGTAGAAATTAAGACAGGCCATAACAGAAGATTCCAAGATTAAAGAAGGGCTGGAAATCCAAAGGCAACCCTCCCCCTCCACCCTAAGAAAAAAACTGGGCCAGAAGATGTTTGGCTGGGTGGGTGGGAAGCTGTTCTTAGGGTGGAGGCGGAGGGAGCGTAGACCCTTCTTTCACCTTTGTGGGCCTGATGCATCTGGCGTGGAGGCGGAGTGAATGTAGACCCTTCCAGGTGGCCCCTGGGTGTATTCAGTGGTTTCTGTGAAAGGTAAAATGTAACTTTAAAAGTTGTCTGGGGACGCCTGGGTGGCTCAGTCGGTTAAGCATCTGCCTTCAGCTCAGGTCATGATCCCAGGGTCCTGGGATCGAGATCCACATCGGGCTCCCTGCTCAGCGGGGAGCCTGCTCCTCCCTCTGCCTGCCGCTCCCCCTGCTTGTGCTCTTTCTGTCTCTTCTCTCTCAGACAAATAAATAAAATCTTTAAAAAAAAAATAAAAAGTTGTCTGTACATTTCCTCAGTGGTGGTAGAAATATAAATTGTTGCAGGCTTTTTTGGAGGGCAGTTTGGCAATACCCATCAAAATGTGTAGCAGCTTAGCCAGCAGTTCTACTTCTATGAATCTAGCCAACAGAAATACTTTCATTAAAGTGTAAGTGTACATGTACAAGGAAGTTCATTGCCTCATTGCTTTTAATAAGGAATGATTGGAAACAACCTAGATGTCTGTCAGAGGAGCGGGAAGATTATGGCACTTCTGTACTGTGAGGTCTTGGGCAGTTGTTGGGAAGAATGAGGACAAGCTCTGCAAGGGCTGTAGAAGGTTTGGAAGAGCACAGACCAAACTCTTAGTTATCTCTGGGTCTGGGAATGGGAAGCATCCACATAGAATACAGTGTAAGTGGTGCTCCCAAGATCTGTTTAACAGAAGTTTGGGTGTGCTTTACCTTTTATTTTACATATACGTATATGTCACCTAACCTGTTATTTTGTAAAGAGCACATATTTTTTAAAATTTATTTTAAAGAAAGGGGAGGGGCAGAGGGAGAGGGAAAGAGAAACTTAAGCGGACTCCTTGCTGAGCGGGGATCCTGACGTGGGGCTCGATCCCACGACCCCGACGATCTGAGCCAAAACCAAGAGTCGGATGCTTGACCAACTGCTCCGCCCAGGCACCTCTGGAGCATGTATTAATTTTTAAAATTGTCTTGGCCTTCTGATTTAACAGTTACTCAGATGACTCCTAGATGCTGAAACACATTGGTTGATTGACATAGTTTAGGGAACAAACCACTCATCAGGTCACAACCACAGGAAGCAGACTCAGAAATAACTGTTGGTGTTGAGTGGTTCAAAGCCACTAGGACTTGAGCACCTGTCAGTCATAAAGGAGTTGAAGGTACTTGTTAATTATATATGTCACCATTGATTAATGCGAATCAGCTGTTAACCACACATAGAATGACACTGTAGTCTTTATGAGATTTGGAGAGGCTTGATTTCTGTCTTTGGTCACTCTTTGTAATCTGATCCAGTTTTTGACTCAGAATCATATGGGTAGTGCTCGACTTTTTCCATTCAGCACAGAAAGTGAAGTGATCTGTTGTGATAAAATATTAACTAAATTTGTATGACTTTTTGACTGCTGTTAAGTGCAGAACATTTATCAGATAAGCACCATTTTCCTGAGCCTTCTGTGACTAAATATTTTATCTTACTGCCACCATTGTGTAAAATCTTTGACTAGAAAATGAATACTGGATATTAGTTAAACCCATTCATAGGCTGCAGCAGAGTGTCAGCTTAGTGTTCATACATCAAAGTTTGTTCAACAGCCTTTGCATAATCCAGAAGAATTTAATAACCGTTGAGGTTAATTTTGTCAGTGAAATAAAGGGAAAGGAAAATGTTTGAAGTTTAAATTATGCAGGTAGCTAAATTCTTAATCCTAAAATTTAAATCCCTTAATTCTGTCTGTGCTATCGTACTGAGGCATTTTAATAATCATGAAACGGAGCAGGTCTTTACTCAGATTATTTACAAACAAATTTTCCTACATTTGTTGTGAGCAAAGTACCATAAGCAGTTCTTATTGCACATGATATTTAATTTCCAAGATCGTCTGTCCATACTTCTGTCCACATCATAAGAGCTTAGTAACTGCAAAACAAACTGTAGCTAAATTAGAAAAGTTACACATGTCTTTTGCTTCTTTTATTTTGGCTGAATTTTAATATTTTTCTTTCTTTTTTATCAAAAGTTCTAATGAAAATTGGGAAAGTGGAGACATATATATTATTTTGACTCTCCTCTATCTGTAGTGATGGAATATACTGATCTTTAGTCTGTAAACAACAACTTTGAAAAATTTGTGATTTAAAAAAAATGTAGATAGAAGAGATGCCAGAATTTTGTAAAAATTATAGTTAGATAAATGAAGAAGTGTGAAATTGTGAGGATTCATTCACAGATGTCATAGTGTGAGCTTGAAAGAACATTGAGATGAGTGTGTTGTTGAGTTTCTTACAACCAGAGCACACACTTTGGAAATCGTTGTTAGATTTAACAGTTACTCAGATGACTCCTAGATGCTGAGACACATTGGTTGATTTGACATAGTTTAGGGAACAACCACTCATCAGGAACGTCTGATTTATAGACTAGCAGTCACCATCAGCAGGACCAGAAGGTGCATGGGAAGGTGCCTGGGCCAGTCTCAGTCCTGGGTGGATTCAGCAGGGCCCTTCCTGCTGCCCAGAAAAGCCTGGTCCCTGTGGGGTCAAGTATGCACGTGTATGGATGCATGAGACTGAATATGCCCACCATCGCTGAATGCCCTGTGTTGCCTGAAACTGACAGTGTTCTTCCTGTTTTGTGGTTCCATTTTTATTTTAAATGCTCTTAGTAAATGTTAATACCAAATTGAGATGACTTAAGAGCTAGGAGAGACTTGTTACAAAGAAAGGGACGACAGGAGGAGATAGGCTGGCAAAGCCAGCACCTTGAAAGCCTGGACTGGAGAAATCTTAAGGAAATGGTAGAAAACTAGACACAAGGAGAGTCCTAGCTAACAGTTACACGTGACATTCCATCTAAGGAGATGCCTTTGACTTAATTCAGAGATTTTGGGTGGAGGGTTGCTAGCGAATGGTCTAAGTTTTGGTTTTGTTTCTCCCCACCTCCAGAGATGGCAGCCTAATTTCTCTCTCAGAAATGTAGAACTTCCTTGCAGCCTGACGTCCGTGCATGGTCAGTAGTAAACAGCACATCTGAAGGGATTCCACTGCGAGGAGCACCGGGGGTCTCCGGAGCAGAGTTCCCCGCGGGCCATGTGCCCCCAGGGGTTGATGACATCTCAGACGTACCTGTACATATTCAAGAGCCCTCTGACAAATCTGAGAATTTTAGAAGAGGAGTCCACGGCAATTATGCTGTTTAAATTTCTGTACTAGCCTATCTCTGGCTACTTTTATACATGGGATCAGGGGCTCCATCTTGGGAAGCTTCCCCTAAAACTTCAAGTGGAGGCGCCTCATACTCTGGTCATCTCCATCATCTCCACCTCCGCCATCTTCTTCTCCGTCTCCATCATCATCGTCATGAGTGATCATAATACCCATTGAATGAGCATGCTGTTCCGACCTTCCCCACCCAAACCATTCACACTAACCTTTGTATAGGCTAGTATCTGGCACATAGTAGGTGCTCAATACATTTTTATTGAATGAGTGGATTTTGCTTACTCTTGGAAGTTGTTCTTGCCCTTTCTTTCATGCTCGTGAATTTCTGATACCACCTGTGTTGACTAACTGGTAGTAGGCATCACAGTAATGCTAATTCAGTAGTCTCGTTTTCTGTGGCTGATACCTTAAATTTCTGTTTATGAAGGATGTGTCCATTAGATTAAAACTTTGTTTTCTTCTCCCTTTTTTTTTTAGATTAAGACATTCTAATTTTGTTCTTATTTATCTATTTTTTTTTTGCAGGGGTCTTGCCCCTCAGAACAAGCCAGAATTGCAAAAAGTGATGGAAAAGAGAAAACGAGATCAAGTAATAAAGCAGAAAGAAGAAGAAGCACAAAAGAAGAAATCTGACTTGGAAATAGAACTATTAAAACGGCAGCAGAAGCTGGAGCAGGTAAGAGTGTTGGGGATGAAAGCTGTCCTTTTCCTTTATTGAGATATATTTGACATTCAGTATTGTGTAAGTTGAAGGCGCACAGCGTTTTGACTTGGTACATTTTTACTGAGGTATGTTTGGCCCTGAGGCTTAGCTAGCACCTCTGTCACATCCCAGAGTTTACATTTCTTCTGGTTCTGGGAACAGTGAAGATCTAGTCACTTAGCAAGTTGAATGTCCATAGTATAGTTTTGTTGACTGTAACAACTGTCCTGTGTATTAGGTCTCCAGGACTTCTGTATCTACTGGCTGCAAGTACATACACTTAAACAGCATCTCTCCCATTTCCCCAGCCCCTGGGAGCCACCATTTTACTCTCTGCTTTTATAATTTTGGGGCTTCTTTAGATTCCACATACGAGAGAGATCATGCAGTATTTGTCTTTCTCTGTTTGACTCAACTCAAAAGTTACCTTTTCTGTCCTGAGAAATAAGGATGTTGGAACAAGCAGAATTTGCCAGACCTATCAGATGTAAGTGTTTATTGTACAAAAGGAAAATAAGAGATAGAATGTCAGCAAATGGGCTAAAATACATTCAAGGTAAAGACAAGGATTCTACTGGGGACTTAGGAAAGATTCAGGAGGCAAAGCCCAAACTGGGGAGTGTCCCTGAACTCACAGCAGAGTGTTGGGAGCACAAGCAATTGAGTGAAATTCAACTTCACTGAAACTGCATGCAGAGCCGACTGTGCGTTGGTCTCAGGATGTTGTTTCCTTGGCCTTGATTTTGGGCTCTCATCGTCTGTGCTGTTGCTGGTAATACCGACCAGGGGGTTGCTGCCCCTGTGCAGGACGGCCACACGGCCCGTACGCATATGCACATGTGTACATGTAAGATGGAGACCAGGAGCGAATGTCTTCCCCTGGGGGATAGAAGGTGTTAGGGACTTTGGAAAGTGAAGGAATGTTTTGGAAAGCCTCTCGGTGTGTAAATAATTTTCCTGTTTCTGAATTTCATTTAGCTTGAACTTGAGAAACAGAAATTGCAAGAAGAACAAGAAAATGCCCCAGAGTTTGTGAAGGTTAAAGGCAATCTCAGGAGAACAGGCCAAGAAGTGGCCCAAGCGCAGGAGTCGTAGGCCCTGGCGACAGAGACCGCGCGCCCAGCCCACCACGCGGGGAAGCTGCGAGCAGGCGCCTCCTCAACCAATGCTTAATCTCAGGGCCAAAGCCCCTGGAGAGAACCCCAGCCAGCAGAGAATTGTTACTTTAAAAAGGATTTGGTTTTGGTTTTCCCACAATCTGGGTGGATAAATGATCTGTGACAGTTGCAATTCCTATTCGCCAAACGAAGGATGTTGACCAGCACTTAAGTTGGGATAAGTGAACCTGTGTTCAAAGACTTTAAAAAAAAAAAAAAAAAAAAAAAACCCACAACAGCAAAAAAGAAAGAGGACACTGGAATAAATTCTAGAGAGTTGCACTACTTGGTTTTTCTTCCAGGCCAAGTTTAATGGGGCACAGAGCCTTTTTTCTTCTAAAATCTAAAAGAAAATGTGTTTTGTTTCTTCCTTTAGTTATCTATTAGATAATTTAGATCACATAGGACGATGTTTGACCTGTTAACATCCAGCATTCGTAAAATCCTTTTTGAGAATCTAGATTTTTCTTGTTTCATTTTACTTTCACCTGTGTTATATTGACACCCAAGAGCGTTAATGTTGAACACAGCTGTTACCTTTTTTGACGTTAAGATTCAGAAATAAGGTGAGAAGGTTTAAAAATATGGAAAAAAATACATGTAAAAGATAAAGAAAAACACATAAATGTTCATCTTGATCTTATTTTAATTCCTTTTGGTTCTCTGATATTAGAATGTGCTATGGTGACATTCCAGTTCGGAGAAGGCACATCATACAAATCCACCTATTGCTTTGATAACTGTTAGAATTCTGTTTTGTTTGGTTCTTGAATTTCTTGCTGAGCTAATCCTTTTATATGAAACAGTCTCCCAGTCCTTCGGAGAAGAAAAACTAGTCCATATTACCCAACTTCATTGTCGAAAGTAGAGGGGGCAAATCTTTGAGAGCAGTCTGGGGAATGCTCCCAAACTCCTCCAAAGAACAAGGAGGAGTTCTTTGGGTATTTTAATGTGAAACAAACGTAGGTTGGTCTCCAGGAGGCCTAGCTGGAAGGTTGGTAGTATTTGTACATTTTGAGAGAATCCAAGTTTTGGAAAATTTCAGATGAAGGATCACATACTGCTTCGTTTTTTTTCTTGTGAAGAAAGATTGTTCCCCTGCTCTGTTGGAGGTGATGACTACTGTACAGCATCTCAGGAAGCACCGAGGTGAAGGGAGAGACTGCCCAGCTTCCGCACGCTAGCCAGCTTGCTCCCCAAAGTGAAGTCCCAGTCGAACAGCAAAATCCTGATGCAAAATGCATTTGATTACTGCTGGTACGGGCAGGGGTATATTCTACTTGGGGTGATCTGGAAGAATTTATGTGGATTCAGTATGTTCTCCATCAAGATGATTCAGCCAGTCATTTCTACAGTGAAGAGTCTTCTTAAACTTCCTTTAAAGGCTCATAGAAAACTGGATCCCAAGCTTTTAATCCTAATAAGCATAGTAGAAATTAGCTTTCTATGGGAATGCTTTATGTTTTCATAGTTGACAGGCTCATATTCAATCCTCATGTGAACGAGATAAACGTAAACACGATGACAGTATACTGCTAGTCAGAGGACATGTCGGTTACACCTAAAATGGGTGATTTCTCATCAGTAAGTATTAATGAATAAAATATGAGATGCTTAAGATAAAACGTTGCTCTATAATAGTTTGCTTTTGAAGGATGGAGTGGTAACTTTTTTTCCCATCCTAGCTTTTGAGAGAAGAAAGTATGTTAAGTGATCATCTTGAAAGTACCTTTCTGATCACACATTGATTGGAGTGCTTTGTGTATATGGGCTGATGATGAAATTTGCAAAATGAAGATTCATGACTGGCTCATAGCTTCTCACCTAACTGGATGTTGGATCTTAAGTCCTGTGCCCTTGAAGCAATTCTGCCACTTGATAAAATTCTCAAGGGCCCTGACAGGCCCCGTTAGCAGGACTGATTCTGTTCCTAGAACTTATCTAGAATTCATTCTTCGCTGGGAAGAAAAATTACAAAAGCATTTCCCTCCCAATCGCACTCACCAGTCTGCACAGTGACGTGTAGTGAGTAGTACAAAGTCTGGCCAAAAGACTTGTAAATAGTGTGAAGTGATGTCTTATGACCAAACGGTGGAATGTACAGGTAGAGAAGCTCTCTGAAGTTGTCAGATCAGCTCGGCTCACAAGCCTGAGTTTCAAAGGGCGCCCGTCTCCCCTCCACACATTAATACAGTACAGTCCAAACTCCTAGGACTCAACGAACATCCGAGCAGTTTTGTGCTTTGAGCCACTTTTTGACAAGAATGGCTCCATTTTTCCACTCCGTGGTTTTCTTAAACTAGTTCAGTGTTTTATAGTCTCCTGGTAGTAAAGTAGTGTTGCTTTCTAAGCTACAACAAACGGTTGACTTTATTCTTCTACTCTGAAAAATCTTGACTTGTTTGAGTGTATATAGTATATATAAAGGGAGCCTTAATGGATTTGTTTTCATAATTTAATATTTTTTGTATTTGCTCTTGTACAATTGTTTTTAATGGAAAGTATTACAGAATTGAGGGTGGAATTCTTAGAACCAAAGTTATTCTTAATAAAAATCACCACACGCTTGGACCATGAAGCTGTGTCTGTCTGATCTGTTGGAGATGGATGTCTGGCACTGAAGGTGGGGGCGCTGTGTTCAGCTCAAGGAGTAGAAGGTGGTTTTAGGGACTCCTTTGGTGACTGTCCTCTTTGACAGCCCCCCGCCCCGCCTCAAATTAGTTATGTCTTCTGCCTTGTGTCAGTCAGGCTGACAATTCACTGTGTCAAGCAAATTCATGCCAAGAGATCATGCTACTTTTTGTACAATGTGGTATGTTAGCAGTGGCGGTCAGTCCTTCAGATCAAAGTATGCTGATTTTAGGTTGCTTAGTAGGACAGTGGGAGGTATATTTTGGTAAGGGCCACTTTTTAATGCTGTGAGCTAGTACGTATCTGAAGTGCGACCATGAAATTATTCTACTTATTCAGCTAAGTTAACGTAATCCTCAAAAAGTTACTTTGGGAAACTCTACATGTGATGACATTGTACTATTTGAAATAGTTAACGGAGATTCTGGTCTCTTTGTGCCTTTATTTTCCAGCCCCCAGTTACTACTCAGCTTGATGACCCAACTGCTAGTGTCTTTGGACTCTATTTTGAAAATCAGATCTCCTCAGGGCAGTGCAGATTTCCTGCCTCTAAGGGTATACTGTGATTTCTAAGGGCCAGTGCAGAAGATGGGCTCCAAAGTGATTTGTGTGGTAGCTTTTATTCTTGGAATGCAAGCAGGCGGCTTCCCAAGGGGGCAATTCCGAGGCTGGTACTCCGTTTCCTGGAGCCACTCTATGCTTGTTTGTTTCTTAGAGTAATAGTAATAGATTTGAAAAAAGACAGGGCAATTAAAGTGTTTGATAACATTTGAAATGCCAAGTGCACCTAAAAAGTATTAGAATAAAACTGCCAGGCTTACATTTACTAGTATAATGAGAAGTGGAGTGTTTTCTTTCTATGGTCTTAGGGTAAATAAAATCCTTATGAGGAAGCCTCACAATTACAATTTCTTCCTTTTTGTTTCCTGTTGAGAAGATGCAGTCTGATTATCAACTGGGGATGTTTTCAACGTCTTCCCACTTGTTCCTAGATTTCCTAGCAAGATGATAATTGCCAACCAGAGTTTGGTAAAAAGGACACTTGGTTATTTATTCAGAGTATGCTGATTGCTGCTTGGGTGTTGTTGCTCCCAGGCCCCTCAAGGTTGGGGAATATATCTGTATGTCCATGTAAATATATATTTACACATCTGCATTGATATTTATTTTTATATCTCTAGTTATTGAAAATCATGAGTTCATATTAATACTCTCAAATCTAACCTAATAGTACCTTCTAGCTTTCCTGTTTCCATATTTGTAGCTCCTTTCTCTAGCAGCGAATGCCTCCTCCGTGTACTTACTAATTTCCACAACCACCCCCCCATACCTAACCCACCTCCTGCCTTCGCTCAGTACCATCCCCACTCTGGTCCTGTCTAGTGGCTTTGTGGCTGAATTATCAAGGAAGGAAAGAAGCAAACATGTTTTTCTTGGACATTTAAGCATTTATTGTGAACTTAAACTAATTAAATTCTCTCAAACCTCTTAAACTGCAGATTTAGTATGCCTGACTATTTTGTACCTTTCAAAACTCAAACAGTACATGAACCATGCTGGATGTGTCAGTTCGGGTTCTCTGGAGAAACAGAGCCAAGAAGAAATAAGAAAGGTTTAGTGAAAGATACGATTGATTGATAGGTAGACAGACAGACTAAGGAGGAATTGGCTCACGCAGTTATGGAGGCCCACCATCTGCTGTCTGCATCCCGAAGACCCAGGAGAGCCAGCCAGTGGTGTGATTAAGCTTGAGGCTGAAGGTGTAAGTCTGAGAGCAGGAGACCCCTGTTCCAGCTCAGAAGTCAGGCAGAGAAAGAGAAAGCGAAACCTCCTTTCCTTCCCCTTTTCTGTTCACGCAGACCCTCCGTGAATTGGTTGAGCCCCCCCCCCCCCGCCGCCGGGGAGGGCCGCCTACTGAGCCCCTGATCCAAATGCCAGTCTCTCTGGAAACACTCGCATGGACACACGCGGAAATAATGTTTAATCTGGGTACACTGTGGCCCAGTCAGGTTGACACATAAAATTAGCCATCGTACTCAAATACAGTGGTTAACACAGTATTAGAAATAACTTACATAAACCTATTTTACAAGTCACCTTTTGAGCTTTATGTCCCAAAATTTTTTACTTTAAAAATACTTTTCTATTTATTATGGCTGTATTTATTTTCATATCATCCTAGGGGTTCAGTCATATCTCACTCTTATTTCCTGGGCTTGTAGTAATCTTCTACCAAGCCTAAAAGAAAAGGAATTCCTCAGAATGAGAGCACCATCGAAGGACAGGGAGCCTGGCCCCACAGTGCAGAGCCGATTGAGCCATGAGCCACAGGCCTTGGATTAAGTCTTTTTATAATTACTTCTTACTTGCTTTGTCATGGGATTTTTAATATCTCATTATATATATTACTTTAATTTTTTGGAACTTGGTGTCTTTTCCCAGAAATGAAGTATTTAATTTTGCGCGGTCGGCATTGCCTAACTCGCCCTGCCTTTACGATACATTGATCTTGTCTATTAGCATTATTGAAAATTAGATATGCCTTATCGATATCCTGTAGGATCAGTAGGATTAAATTGAGGTTAATTAGTAGGGTCATGTTGAGATTTTTGTCTGTAAAGAATCATCAGGTATGTGTGGTGAATTCTTTGAGACATTTGGCTATTATCTTGGGCATACTATTCTATTTAAATTTGTTACTGGGTCTCATCAGTGACTCCGTTTCTACTTGGTTGTTATATGTGACATGTGACCGCTGATGACAGTCTTCCTTCTTCTTGTACTACTTTTTCGAGTTTCCTCTATTTATTCTTTCCTGTATAGATAGAAA